GGATTCGCTAACCCTCTCCTTAATCTACCCGCTAAATTAGCGGGCAATCTTCACGGAGCCACCGCGAAATCGGCAACCCTGTAGCAGACTACCCGTTAAGAAAAACACGAAGATTCTTTGTCGAGCCGACAGCCGACTACGAAATCAGACACGAGTTCGCTCAATGACCATGACTACCTTACGACCTCGTAAGGTAGACTTTAGAGCTCGTCACGCCCGTAGGCTCACTCGTGAATATCGTATATGTTTCTCTTAGAAACGAGGTATTTACATGGAGAATTACATAGGTCATATATAGGTACTTTAAAGTATTAATCGGTATATAAGTTGTGAGCGACCCGGCTCACATATTGTATCAAAGAGAGCTCCTGGGCTTCATATTGATCCGTCAGACGGATCAGTCGTTCGTTCAGAACTCGATACTTCTTCCGAACAGGCTTCGGAGCTCTGCCCATATCGAGTAGCAAGCGTTGAGCTTTATTGCCGTGCTCTTCTTTCTGAAGGTGCGACACGATCTCGAAGAGGTTAACGTGTCGTTTCCCGACGCGACCATTGAGGGCGTGATGCCAACCCTCGATATGGTTTGTTGTACGCGCTCCGAAGTTCCTGTAATGGTTCCAGAGAACACGCGGGAAAACCGACTCGTTCTCCAACCACGTGCTTATGAAGTACGTTTTGAAGCGATCGAGAGCTCGGAAGGCTGGATGGTCTGCACTCGGAGAGTCGCTGTCTATCTGCAGCCAAGCTTCATCGATCTCCTCCAGAGGCACCAAACTGAGGGCTGCCACGCATTTGAGGAATCTGTTCACAGCTCGATCCCCATAGTAAGGCTGTAAACCGAGCTCCTGTGCTTTCCTCCACAAAGCCTGACAGAAGTGAAAGTTACAGCCTTTCACTCCTGCTCCGGGGAAACTCTCTTGGATGGCGTTGAGGCAAACCACTTCGAAGTCCAATTGCACCGTTGTGGGTTGGAAAACTTTCCCCACAGAGAGGGCATACTCTTTGAGCATGGCGAAGACTCGGTTGCAGGTAGCCTTGGACTTGTCCGGGAGTAAGAAATAGACCAAGGCTTGCATCTGTCCCTTGTAAAAGGCGTGAATGGAGTATAATTGGAGAAACAGCCTCGGAACCACCCGGAAAGTTCCATCCATGTAAATGGAGCGAGCCTCGATTAGGATCCTCATCGATTCATGCGAAGCGGAGCCGAGGATACGATCTGACGAGCCTTGATCAAAAAGCAAGAAGTCGTCGCCATCGATGGTTTTCCCCCATTGATCTTCGAGGCAGATTTCCGAGCGAGATGAGGGCAACGGAGGGCGGATTCGAGCCCGCTCCCGTCGGAGAGCGCTTCGAATACCGTCGAACGTCGGCAACGCTGCACCGATCTCCTCAGGGTCATGTGAGGATTGTGCTCCCGAGACTGCGCTCGCCAGCACCTCATCGTACACTCTCTTGCAAGTTTTCTCAGGCTGGTGCAAGGCTGTTATTTTCATGGCGAGCCTTGTATCTCGCTTGAGGCGATCTTGACGCTCTTCAGAGTGATTGTCTTCCCCGGATTGACGTACCAGCACCGGTTCGACGTCCTTCAGAAACAGAGACGAATCGAATGAGTCAACGAGAACTATGAGCGAGTGGAATTCCCTCCGACGCTGATGTCAATGGAATGAAAACGAATAACCCTAACCTTTACGA